CTCTTTGAGGGGAGGTAGGTAGTCGAGTGAGCTCATAAGCGTGTAATGGTTAAGCACGAGATCCCCTCGACACTGTACTGTGTGCTTGTGCTTACCACTGATTAATGCAATACAAGTTGCCTTTTGTCTAATTTGTGTGCACTCTTGTTTCCTTTTGTGTGTTGTTGCTTGCATTTATAGGCTTTCTCGACCCCATCGAGCGCCGCACGGGGGCCCGTCGATTAGCCCCGTGACAGTTTGGCAGCCAAACCAATAATACAACAAGTATATTCTAGAAGGAGAAAGAAAGGAGCCACATCGACAAATTCAGTTGAACAAGGATGTAATTACTGGGTCTTGATCTTGATGTAATACTTATGTACAGTATAAAAGGTCAAGAGGAATAAGAAGGGGGAAAATCATTCAAGCAATCTCTCTCAGTCTCTCTCTCTCTCTGTCTTTTGTTTTTCTTAGGAGGTAGCATCCCCTCGAAGTGGTGCCTAACATCTTGGGTCCCACAAAATGTCCTTCATTAGTTTCTCTTGTTGATTGGCCACTTTGGTGGGGATCCTAAAGGTAGATAGGTTGTAGACTGGCAAATTAGTCAAGGTTGACTTTATTAGAGTTATCCTACCCCCTAAAGAAATATAACTTCTTTTCCACCTTGCAAGCCTCTTTGTAAACCTTTGCACTATGGATGTCGGAAGCTATCAGAATTTAGGTCCCCCCCTCCCCACCACCACCACCACCAAGGTAGTCCCAAATACTGTAAAGGTCAATCTCCTACCTCAAAACCTAGCATTCTAGCAAGGTTTTCTACCTCCCATCTCTCTTTATTTGTCCATGTTAGTACATTTGGAAATTCTCAATTATACCAAGTCATATCTAATATTATTACTGATTTGTTAAAAGAAAAAATAATTATTATTGAATATTAGTATATTACTGTTGCTCTGGGGATTCAGGTTGTTGCATTCCTTGGGCATGGAGAGAATGAGGTTTATGGGGATTCCCAGGTTGTTATGTGGGTATATGAATTGTAGTCCTCGTCATCTTCTAGTTTGGGATACTTGTTCATGGAGGTGATGGCCCTGGCAGCTAGAGTGAAACATCTTGTTTAGATGGCTCGCAAGGCCTGCTAATTCACTCGCTACCAACCTTGCCTTGGGGAAGTGTGGTCAGGACCAAATTGGACTGGAAAACTGATTTACCAGGGTAATAGTTTCTTGTGCTCTTGCATTTCATGTGCATGTATGGTCTCTTGCCTTGGATTTTTCAACTAAAACTTTGTCTGGATCAGGAAGTGGCTATGGAGACTGAAAGAACTTTTCTCCAGTGTTGCAAGATTTGGACTGGAATGGATGGTATGGTCAGACCATGAAAATTGGGAACCAACAGCCTTTCCACTACCAGTTAAATGACAGTTTTCATGAGTTGAATGGGATAATCGTTCTGATAAGAAAAAGGCTAACTACCTGGTTAACCGGGAAAATGGTGACCCGTTAAGCGTTCTGCTTTTTAGTCCGTTCTGAGTCTTAACATTGCTTTTCTCCCTTATTTGGGGCTTGATGGTAAGCAATTGGAGATTGATCAAGCATTTTTGGACTTAGATACCCTCACCCCCAAAAAATGCGCATGCAGAGTCAGAAATTAACACATTAGAGAAGACCAAGGAGTAGCTCCTATTAGTGACAAAATTAGGGAAAGTTGACTTAGATCATGTGCATGAATATCAATGACTGCAGGGTTCAAGTAGGAGGCTCTGATGGAGTAAGGAGAGGATCAAAGAGAGTGTGGTCTGAATTGATAAAAAACGACTTAAGGACTTATGATTGCACAGAAAACTTGGGTCTTGATGGTTCACAATGATGGAATAGGATTCTTGTAATTGACCCCATATGGCTCATATTAAAGCTAAGCGTATGTAGATTTTGTCATGGTATCTTAAAGCTGCAGGCTCGGGAGAGTGGGCTGGTTTTGCTATGGTGCCGGGGGGAGCGAAGGTGAACATTCTTCAATTTGCAGATGATACTCTATGTTTTGTGGATGCCTCTCCCTCTCAGGTGGAACTTGTCCTTGGAACCCTATCTTGGTTTGAAGTGATTACAGGGCTAAAAGTAAACTGGAAGAAGAGCCAAATCATCCCAGTTGGCCAAGTCTCTAACTTAGCTGAATGTTGAGATATTTTGGCTTGTCAGATTGGTTCCCTCCCAATTAAATATTGGGCCTCCCTCTAGGGGTTAGTGGTGGTTCATCTGCAATTTGGGACCCAGTTATTGAGAGATTGGAAAGGAAGCTGGCTTCTTGGAAGGCAAAATATCTTTCTTTTGGGAGGTTGACTCTGATTAAGAGCACTCTCTCCAATTTGCCTACCTATTTCCTGTCTCTGTTTTATATTCCTAAGAAGGTTGCAAATCAGATTGAAAAACTTCAAAGGGATTTCCTTTGGAGAGGCTGGGAGGAGGAAAAGAAAGTGCATTTGGTGAGTTGGGAGCAAGTTTGCCTCCCCAAATCTGAGGGGGGTTAGGTATAAGGAAGCTGAAAAATTTTAACTCTGCTCTGCTCGGTAAATGGATATGGAGATTTGCTGTAGAGCCTGATGCTTGGTGGAGATCTCTCATTGCTAGTAAGTATGGTGTGAGTTGGGGAAACTGGAGAACTAGGGATCCTCCTCATAACTGGGGTAGTTCCCTTTGGAAAGGGATTATGAAGACCTATTCAGATTTGGTAAGGGAAGTCTCAATAAGGGTGGGAAATGGTAATAGGACCAAATTCTGGAAGGACCCTTGATGATCAGATGTTCCTCTTGCTGAGTCCTTCCCGCTCTTATTTCAGTGTGCATCAAATCAAGAGGCCTCAGTTGCTCAGTGTTATAGCATTTCGAGTGGTTCAGTTCTTTGGATTCCCTCTTTCCGCAAAAATCTTTTTGATAGGGAGGTGGAAGAGGCAGTAAATCTCCTGTCATAACTCCAAAATCAAACTCTGGATTATAATTTGGAGGACAAGTGGTTTTGGAGGTGGAATTCAGATGGTCTGTTTTCTGTTAAATCCCTGGCTGCTTTGATTGGAAGGAGGGGTGGGTCTGATTTCCCAGCTCGGAAAATATGGAATCCAAACAGGCCGACAAAAGCATGCTTCCTTGTTTGGACCATGGCTCTAAATAAGGGTCTTTCCAAGGAAAATCTGGTGAGAAGAGGCATTCAGATCCCAGACTTGTCTTGTAGTTTATGTGGTTGCAGTATTGAATCCACTGATCATTTGTGTATCCACTGTCCGTTTTCTGCTCATTTATGGAATCATCTCTTCAACATTGTGAAGATTAGCTGGGTGATGCCGAGGTCGGTTAAAGAGTTGTTAAACTGTTGGCAGATTAAGGGTTTGAGCAAGAAAAGGAAGGTTCTCTGGAAACTGATTCCATTTGTGGTTATCTGGTGTATCTGGACTGAGAGGAATAGAAGGGTATTTAATGACAAGTCTCTTAGTCCGGAGGATCTATCTCAGTAGTTGGTGGGCAAGTTGGTTTCATGGCTGTTTGTGACTGCTGAATTTAGAAATTGTAATGTATCAGATGTGTTATTTTCTGTTTCTTGATGGTCATGGTGTGATGGTCATCCATTTTCTTTCTAGAAAACCTGTTTCTCTTTGCATTGGATAAATATTTTGTGTTCTCAAATTTTTGATGATTGACAGGTTCCTGTTCCTGCGTTGAAGGAACAGATTGCAACAGTCACTGGTGTATTATCAGAACAACAGCGCCTAATATGCCGTGGAAAAGTTTTGAAGGATGATCAACTCCTTTCAGCTTACCGTATCCTCTTCCATTACTTATTCCTTTTTTCTTATTGGTTTTGTGTTTCTTCTGTTTTTTTATTGGTTATGGTAACATATGCTTAGCTAATGTTCCTCACTTCCTCTTCATTCGGAACTGCATTGCATCAATTTGTTTAAGTTCTTTCTTTCTAGCTTTCTTATTTGGCTTGCTCATTTGAGTTGTGCAAACCAGTCTTCTGCCATAGTTCTGCGGTTCAGACCTACCCAAAAAGGGTCTGCTTCCCATTTTAAGCAGTCCACTGCAAGGTTGTGCACATTTTAAAACATTCATTTCTGCCCTCAAATCATCTTTAATTTTTGACTAGTATTTCGGAAAGTATTTTAATGTGGATTGGATTGCTAATAACTTACTTTGTCACCTGAAACTTTCCAAATGCATGTTGTCACTCTTGGCAGCTCTCATTCTTGTGCAGTTATCCTTTTCCATGATTTAAATGCAGGGTTTTGATTTTGAGTAGGCTATTATATCAAATTTTTGTACCCTACCAATATGCCAAAATCCTAAGAAGCTAGGACTGATGGAAAGCATCAAGCTAAAGCTGTTTAACTCTCAGGACCATACTCTAATCCTGACTATTTCTGGCCTTTTTTCCTTTAAACATTCTTGGAGAATCCTTTTCTTATTAATTTATTTTTTCTCCCTTGTTTTTCTTAATTTTCATTTCTTCATTTTGGACCTTAGTACCATTCTATGCAACATAGCCTTGAGGGGCAGGGCAGGCTGGGGGAGGGAAATTTGTGAGACTGATTCTCTTCATCATGCTTGTATAATTAACCTGGTTTTGGGATGCTTAGAGTATTTCAATTTTCTACATTAATACAACTATAATTTACTGTTGCTGGTAAAAAATATTGAATGCTGGCATACAAATACTGCATATGTGGAATGTCTTATACAGAATTACAATAACTTGGATATAAAGGAAAATGTTATTCAAATCCATGAAGAAAGTACCTTCTGACCTTTTAGATATCATGGCTTAGATTGTCTATGATTACTTCTATCAACTGTAGGTTATGTCCCAGAAAGCAAAAATAAATATCCATGGACACCACTTTTTTATCTCATTTTATTTTTAGCATATTAACCTTTGCATGTGCAGCACATTTGTGATGTCAGTTTTTCAGATTCTTGATATTACTTCTGTAGACCTTCAAAGTATTATAAATATATTATAAGTGAGCCTTTTCTACTCTAATCTGCTGTACTTTTGTCATCCTCTGTGTGATAGTTTGGTAAAATTCAACATTGGATTTCTTAATTTGATTTAGATGTGGAAGATGGGCACACTTTGCATTTGGTAGTCAGACAACCAGTTCCTCCTCCATCTGCATCCACAATGGGCTTCATGGGATCTGAGGGTTTACATGATCATTCAGGTGTGTGATGCTTTTAGAGATCCTATGAATTTCTTTGATTTTAGATGCCGAATGAGTTGCGACAGTATTTCAATTATTTTTTTTTATCTTTAACTGAGCCTGTTTCACTTTGATCGGTATATATTATCACAAAATGCTTCTTGAGGGGAATATTAATTTTATGGTTTCATGATTCTACATGATTTCATCAACATGCCTTTTTGTTGTTTTTTAGCAGTAATGATCAAACAGAACTCATCAAACCATAGGAAATCAAGAAAGATTTATTCATCATGGTTTGGTTATCTCATATCATACAACCTTTACATATTTACTGAAGTATATGCTAATCCATCTTTCCATCTGCATCAAAGTTTAAGCTTGTTCAATCCAATAGATGTCCTAACTTGTCCATCTTTCTAGAAAGTCTCTATAGCAAAGGCATCAGATATGTTTTGTTTTTATCCTTTACACATTGTTTAGAAAAGGGCCTTTATCAGGACAATGAATGACCTTCCAATTGGCTAGCAGCTGCAACAATGATTCTATCTCCCAGTCATTTGAGTGCCTCCAAAACAAGGAATTCCATATTACATGAATGCAGCATTTCACAGTGGTGGCACTCAAAAAAGTAAAAGAAAAAACATTTCATAGCGATTAATGGCTAGTGTGTATTTGCTGCCATACAGAACAATAAGAAAATCTGTGCAAAAGGAAGATATTCTCCACACTTGATTTTGGAAACAAACACAAACACCTCATACCTCAAATGAGCATGCTTCTTGAAACTATTGTGTCTTTGCAATTGTGTCACACTTGAGTTCTGCTTCAATCATCATCACACCAACCTGCAAGGTGATATTTTGTTTTATCATCTGGACCATCCCAAGATGGTGGGTGGCCCTATTGACTGCTCCTAAAGGAAAGCCTAGATATTATGCTAGAAGTTTGTCCAGATCACACTCCAGTGCCTTACTGCCTTTGCCAATTCTTCAAGGTTGTACACCTCTCCAATGTTATGGTTTAAAATGTCACGACATTTCAGAAATGTGATCAACATATGTTGGTGTCGAGAGTTGAGACCATTGGCATAAACTTTCACTTGAATTAATAAAATACAATATATTGGTTAATATTTTGACCATTTAGGTAAATGTCAACCATATCATTCCAACAAACAAAAAAAAGGCTGTGTTGGAAGGAGTGCAAAAAGCCAAGGATTGCTTATCCGTAAATTGGTGATTGAAGGGGAGTCCAAGTTGGTTATAAATTGGTTGCAAAAAGAGGACGATGCTGGTTGGTGGGGCTACATCTATGAGAAAAGGAGAATTAGAAACTTGTTACAAGACATGGAGGTCATCTTACATTGGGTGGAAAGAGATGCTAACTCTTTTACTGATTTTTTGGTTAAACAAGGGGTGGGGAGAAATCAACTTTTTTGGGCAATATTGTCATCTTTTTTCTTTTTTTGGAGAGCTAATAGAGTTTCACTGTTTTGATCCTTGTACTCCTTTGTTTTTATTTTAATGAATTCGACTCTGTTATTGATAAGAAAAATGTATAATATTGCCAACCATATATTGACAACTCAGCATACATTTGAAGTACAAGCATAAGTAAAAAGATTTCATTTCATACAAAAAGTGAAAAAGAGACATTAAAGAAGGGGGAGGGGGGGAGAAGAAGGTTTTAGTTTGCATACCTGGAGTTGGAAGCACTGCAACTTCAGGTCTAACCAAGCACAAGAGTGGCCTCTACCTGGGTTTTTATCATCATCATCGTCGTCATCCATATCCCAACCAATGTTTTAAAACGCGGAGGCGTGACGCGAGGCGTTCCACTACCTAGATGTGTGAGGCGTAGTTCAGAATGCAAGAGGCGTAAGCCTCCCGAACACAAGGAGGCATAAGCCTCCTTAAGAGGAGGGGGGTTAGGAGTAAGGAGGAAGGGGAGGAGGATGAAGAGGAAGGGGGGATCTCATTTTTTCTTTATTTTTAATAAAAATCTTTTATATTAAGAAGAATAAAGATGCATAACATTTTTTCTTTCCCCTTATCTTTTCTTCCCTTCCCTTTCCTTTTCTTTTATTTCTTTTTCTCCTTTATTTTTCTTCTCTTTCTTTTTCTTTCCCTTCCCTTTCTTTTCCTTTCCTTTTTTTCTTTTTTCTTTTTTTTTCTGTCTTTTTATATAAGATGTGCATGAGGCGTATGCCTCTAGCACGCCTCATGAGAAAAGTGCATGAGGCGTATGCCTCTTGCACTTGAGGCTTACGCCTTAGAGGTGTAAGCGTCTCTGGCATACGCCTCAGGGTGTTTTGGGAGCGCCTCACCTGGAGGCACACCTCTAGGCATATGCTTTCCACGCCTTTTAAAACACTGATCCCAACTATATGGGGTCGGCCACATGAATCCTGTTTTGCCAATCTGTTCTATTTAAAGCCATATCCACTATTAAATTAAATTATAATTATCAAAAAGAATATCCACTATTAAATTCTTGGTGCTTAAATCATTTCTTACTACTTCTACTCATGTCCTTTTTGGTCTACCCCTAGCTCTTCTATCTCATTCAACTTGTAACAAATCACTTATTCTAACTAGAGCTGTTGGTGGTCTTCTATGCACATGACTAAACCAATTTAGTTTATCTCTCTCATTTTATCACTTATTGGAGCTACTCCTAGGTTTCTATGGATGGATTCATTCCTGATCCTTTCATTTCTAGTTTTTCCACTCATCCATCTTAGCATTTGCATTTCTGCCATACTCATTTTCTGAACATATTGTTTCTTGACTGCCCAACACTTTGCTCCACACAACATAGTTGGTCTTACAACTATTTATCAAAATTTCCTTTTAATCTAAGTGGTATTCTCCTATCACACAAAAGCCTGCTGCACCCTCCGTTTTTATAATAATAAAAATATTAAATGGATAATATGATTTAATTCTAATTATTTATTAGAACCAAAAGAGATGCATACATGGTATTATTTCATACTAATAAAATATTAAAATGTTAAAATGTTCCGGGCTACTCTGTAATCTTTTTTGTCTTTGTTGAAAGTGTTAAAATAATTGATTTTATGTTTGTTAGGGTCTGTTTGGATGATTAAAGCCTTTTTTCATTTTAATCTATTATTGTACTATCACATAGTAGAGGCACAAGGGTCATTTCCCTTCTTATTTTTTCGCCCTATATATTATAATGAAGCTGGAGCCGCCAGCACTGTTCCATTGCCTCAACACTTCTTCCTTCTCTTCTCTTCTCTCCTCTTCTATTCTCTTCTCTTCTCTTTGCTGTAACCTTCAATCAAATTTACTGTCAAGATGGTATCAGAACATGGCCATTGAATCTGGGCGATCAAGTGTCTTCTCCAAGCTGCTGAATCTGGGCGGAACAAAGGAGTACATTTGGGTTGTTCGAATCAGACTTGCAACTGGTACTGCCCCATTTTTTTCTTTTCTTTTCTTCTCTTCCCTTGGTCGTGTACCAAGAGGAAAACGAATTGACCTGAACCACTGAATGTTGGCACACCCTTGTGAGGTTTTTCCTCTATTTGTTTTGGATCGTGTGATCCTGTACTTGTGAAAGGCTGTTGTAGGTCACGTATGACTTGCTTTCTCTACTTGTTGGCTTGATGCCTTGTGTGTGAGGATCTCCCCTTGTGATTATTGCTTGTAGACCTGCTGAGAAAACTAGTAGGCTGGGACTGCTACTCTGTACAGGTCTGAAAATGAGATTTGTCATCTTGTTTATTCTGGAAATTGGTGCTGGTCTTGTGCTCAGATTAAGTCCAAAAGCTGCAGTGTGGGTGGGCTAATCACTTGTTGTGTGTGGAGTTTTTTGTTCTGATATAAGGAGGGATCCTAAGTTGAAGTTTTTTGATAAAAAAAAATCTGTGTTGACCATGTCTTCTGAGAATTCTGCTACTTCAAGGATTTTTGGAAATCAAAATGGGGTAAGTGGGGGAATGGATACGAGTTTCCCCATGGTTTTCGTTCCCTTTGATGGTCTGAATTACCTTGAATGGTCGAGGGGAATAAAACTCTACATCACTACTAGGGGAAAAGTAGGATACATCAATGGGAAAGTGAAGGAACCGAAGAGCGGAAGTGCTGAATATGATAGATGGAACCAAGAAAATAGTATGGTGATGTCTTGGCTCTTGGTTTCCATGCTGCCACAGGTGAGAAAAACTTTTATGTGGGCTGAAACTGCTTGTGAAATATGGGAACAAACAAAGTCCACCTATTCAGAGCAGAGACACTATGCCAAGATATACCAACTGCAAGCTGAATTGTCCACTTGTAAGCAGGGAGAAAGGAGTCTCTCGGTGTACTATTCGGATCTGACATCGATATGGAAAGAACTTGATCACTATCAAAATGTTAACTGAAAGTGTGATGTGGATGCAAATGCATACAAATCACTTGTATCTCAGCAATGGGTATTTGCCTTCCTCTTGGGGCTGAATCCTTCATATGAGTCCATTAGGGTGCAGATCTTGGGAAGTAAAGACTTGCCATCAGTTTAGGAGGTTTATGCCTTGGTTCAGTTAGAAGAAAGTAGAAGAAATGTGATGAATTCTACAGAGGGGGAGCCAATTGCTCTAGCTGTTCGGGAAAGTTCAGATACTAATGTTGGAGGTGGTTCTAAGAAGGGTGACTCTCAGAAGAGAACAGATGATAAGAGTAAGCTTTGGTGCACTCACTGCTAGAAGGCAAGACATACTAGAGATACCTGTTGGGATCTCCATGGAAAACCTAAATGGACACAGGATTTGGGTAAGAAGTCAACAACTGATCAAGGCAAGAAACCAAGTCAGCAGAATCAGAAAAGGTATAACTCAGCTAATATGGCATCTCAAGAGACTGGTCCCATGGTAACTCAGGAAAGGCATCCCAGTTCTAACCCTAAGGAAGAGATCATCAACTCCTTTCGTGACCATTTGGAGTTATATGGTTGAACTCTTTGTTTCCCAATGGAAATATGTACTAGATCTACTAGAAGATACAGGAAAACTGGGGGTGAGACCAATTGACTCACCAATTGAACCTAACCATCATTTGGGAGACAGTCAGGGAGAGTTCTTGAAAGATGTGAAGAAGTTTCAGAAACTTGTAGGAAGACTCTTGTATTT